TTTCTTTCTTGTCTAATTGTGCTGGCTGGGACTTCCAGTACTATGTTGAATAGTACTGAATAGTGACGAGTATGGGCATCCTTTTCTTGTATGGGATCTTAGAAGAAAAGCTTTCCACTTTTCCAGATTGATTACAATGCTAGCTATTGACTTTTTTTATATGACCTTTATTGTGTTGAGATAAGTTTCTTTTATACCTATTTTGTTGAGAGTTTTAATCATGAATGGATGTTGGACTTTGCCAAATGCTTTTTCTGCATCTATTGAGATGATTCTCTTTTTTTTCATTTTGTTAGTACAGTATATTGTATTGATTGCTTTGCATATTTTTGATGATTCTTGTATCCCAAGGATAAATCCCACTTAAGTCTTTTCATGTGCTGTTGAATTTGGTTTGTTAGTATTTCATTGAGGATTTTTGCATCTATGTTCAGTACACATTCTTTTCAAGCACACACTAAACATTCTCCCAGGGTATTGGCGTATACTTTACTTTTCTTGTGTCTCCCTTTAGTAACAGGTTGATGCAAGCTTCATAAAATAAATTTAGAAGTGTCCTTTCTTCTATTTTTCAGAAAGGTTTAAGAAGTATTGGTATTTATTTTTCCTCAAATGCTTAGTAGAATCCACCATGAAGGAATCCTGGCATTGTTGAGAAATTGATTACTGATTGAATTTCTTTTGTTTTTGGTCTGTTCAGGCTTTCCATTTCTTCTTGATTTAGTTTTGGTAGCTTGTATTTTCTAGAAATTTATCATTCTTTCTACATTATTCAATTTTTCATATAATTTTTCTTAATAATCCTTTTTATTTCTGAAGCATTCATGGTGATGTCTTCTTTTATTTTCTGATTTCATTTATGAGTCTCTATTTTTTTTTTGATGAGTCTAGCTGAGAGTTTGTAGAGAATGAGGTATTGATGTTTTGTACTATTATTATATTATATATTATTATATTGTTGTCTATTTATCTCTTTATTTTTTTCATATTGGCTTTATATTTTTAGCTGCTTTGATGTTGGGTGCATATATGCAGTATTTCAATCTTTTGACTTGAAGTGTATTTTGTTAGATATAAGTATAGCCACCCTTACTCTCTTTTGGTTGCCATTTGCATTGAATACGTTTTCTATCCCTTCACTTTCAGCCTATGTGTGTCATTAAAGATAAAGTGAGACTCTTATAGGTAACATATTGTTGGATCTTTGTGAGTTTTTTTCCATTCAGCTACTCTGTCTTTTGACAGGAGAATTTAGTCCATTTACAATAAAATAATTATTCATAGATAAGGACTTACTCTTGCCATTTTGTTAGTTGTTTTCTGACTGTTTTGTAGTTTCTTCATTCTTTTATTCCTCTCTTTCTGTCTTTCTTTGTAATTTGATTTTTTTATAGTGATATACTTTGATTCCTTTCTCTTTTATGAATTTACTAGAGGTTTTTCTTTTGTTTTTACTTTGAGACTTACATTTAAAAGCTTAGTTAACTTAGTTAAACTTTAGTTTAACCATCCATTTTAAGCTAATAACAACTTAACTTTAATTGCATACAAAAACTTTACACTTTTTTCTCCCCCTCAACACATTTTATGTTATTTATGTTACAATTTACATTTTTATATTATATATTCATTGTCAAATTATTGTATCCACAGTTATTTTTAATACTTTTGTTTTTAACCTCTAATTTTTATACTACAGTTAAAAATAATTTATATACTGCTATTACAGTATTGGAGCATTCTGAAGTTGACTATATACTTACCCTTACCATTGAGTTATATACTTTCATATGTATTTACATTACTAATTAACATCCTTTTGTTTCAACTTGAAGAACTGACTTCACCACTTTTTGTAAGGCAGGTCTAGTGGTGATGAACTCCCTCAGCTTTTGCTTACCTGAGTAAGTCTTCCTTTTTCTGCCATTTCCCAAAAATAGTGTTGCTGGGTATAGTATTTTTGGTTGCCAGTTTTTTTATGTCAGCATTTTGAATATATCATCCTACTCTCTCATGGTCTGAAAGTTTTCCTGAGAAATTTACTGGTGGCCTTATGGTGGCTGCTTTGAATTTGATGAGCTGCCTTTCTCTTGCTGCTTTCAAAATTCTCTTTTACTTTTACTTTTGATTATTTAATTATAATTGTCTTGATATTATATCCTTTGGATTGATCCTGTTGGGAAACTTCTCAGTTTCCTAGACATCCACATTCCTCCCCCGGTTTGGGAAGTTTCAGCTATTATTTCTTTAGATAATATTTCCACTCATCTCTCTTTCTCTTCTCATTGTTAAATTCCCATGATGTGTATATTGGCTTGCTTGATAGTGTCCCATAAATCTTGTAGGTTTTCTTCACTCTTTCTTCATGCTTTTTTGATTTTTTATCCCTTGACTTGTTAATTTCATATAAGCTGTCTTTGAGTTCACAGACTCTTTTTTTCTGCTAGATTACGTCTCCTGGTGAAGCTTTCTATCGCATTTTTCAGTTCATTCATTGCATTTATCAACTCTAGATTTTCTGTTTGGTTATTTTTAAAGATAATATCTATCTTCTTGTTGAACTTCTAGTTTTGTTTTCCTGATTCTGCTGAGTTGTCTATGTGTGTTCTCTTATAGCTAGCTGACTGTGCTTCCTTAAAAAAATTATTTTGAATTCTTTGTAATGTATTTCACAGATCTCCATTTCTTTGGGGTCATTACTGGAGCTTTATTAGTTTCCTTGTGGTGTCATGTTGATTCTTTATGATCTGTGTAGTTTTGCCTTGATATCTATGCATCTAAAGGATCAAATGCTTGCTCTTGACTTTACAGACTGGTTTCAGTAGGTATAGATTGCCTTCCAAGTCCATAAACTGATAAAACTGCCTCCAGGATCTAAGGCAAGTTGGGCTAAAGTCAGATCATGTGGCTGCTGTTGGCTCCTCAGTAGGGTCCATAGCTACCAGGTCTGTTATGGGGGGAATAGGTGGGCATGGTTCCTACCTGATCTCCAGTTGAATGAGACTGCCTCCAGGACTATGGTTGGAGCCAGAACATGGGGCTGTTTCTGGTTTGGCAGTCAAGTCCTCCGATGGTAGTCTGGTTACCAGGGGAATGGATGGGTGTGGTTCCCACTAGATCCCTGAACAGACTTCTGCTGCATACCTGGGCAGGCAGCACTGCCTCAGCACCATGACAAAATGGGACTGGAGCCAGGTCACAGGACTGCTTTAGAGTACATATTTAGAGTACACATTTGGGAAGTAAATTGGTGGGCCTGTTATCAGGGATACTGAGAAGTGTAGCCTCTGATTGGGTCCCTGGAGGGTAGGTCTGCCTCCAGACTATGATAGAGCCTGGTTGAGCTGTGTCACAGGGCTGCTTTAGTATGTACAGTCAGGTCAAGTTGGGAGGTGCCTATTACTGGGGTTACAGCTGGGCAAGATTCCTGTTGTGTCCCTGGGCAAGCAGTATTGCCCCTGGACAACAGCAGAGAAGGGTTGGGATTTGGAACCAAGTCATGAGGCTGAATCAGAGTCAGCTGGGACTGAAGGCAGAAGACTTGCTCCCAGCAGCACAGACATATGTTGTTGGGTCCCTTAGGAGTAGTATTGACTCTGACTGTAGTAGAGTAGAGCTGGAGCTAAATCACAGGGCTGTTTTAGTATCCACAATCAGAACCAAGGTTGGCAGGCCTGTTACTGGGAGTATAGAAGGATGTGTCTCCTTCTGGGTCCCTGGGTGGGCATGACTGACTTGTGGGCTGCAGTAGAGTTAGCTGGAGCTGTGTCACAGGGCCACTTCGGGATCTAAAGTTGGATCCAATTTCGGCAGTTCTACAAGTAGGGGCACAGACAGGTGTGGCTCCTCCTAGGTCCATTGGCAGATAGGGCTGGCTGTAGGACAACCTGTAGCCAAGTGGGACTAGAGCTGAGTCCATATGGGGATAGAGTGGCTTTCATTCAGCAGTTAGGATTACCACCATGGTACAGGCCTACCCCCTCAAAGTAGCTTTCCTTAGGGCTTTATTCAGGTTTTTCAACCTTTTACCTGAATCCCAAAGTTCCCACAAAGGCACTGCCAGATCACTATTTATGTGGGGGAATGTGAGCTGCAGACCTCCTGTTTCCCCGTTTTGCTGACATTGCTAAAAGAGAACATTTTCCAGAAGTGTTTTTTAATCCTTCCACATTTTAGCTCTATTTCTATAATGTTAGATAAGTTATTTTCTTCTATAGACTCAACAGCCTATAAAATGGGGGAAATATTAGCTATTCTGATACAACTTAGGGAAGATTAAACAAGAACATAAATGGGATATAACACATCAGATATGTGTTCCCAGCACATGATAAGTGTTCCACACATACTAGTTGTAGTGGTAGAGGTGATGGCTACTGCTGAGGTTATGGTTGTGATTTTCACTTACAAGGCGGGGAGAGTGGGGTCTGTGGAGAAGGGTTGTAGCCAAGCTCTACCACTTGTAAGCTGTAAAGCCTTCAACAAATTCTCTTTACCTCTGAGCCTTGGTTTCCTTTCTAATTAAATGATCAAATAACACAATGGGTAAAAAGATACTTTGTAGAGTAGGCAGGCTGCATGAATGTAAGGTAGCAACATCAGCATAAGCATCTGGATGACAGGGGTTTCACTCATCTTTTATTATTCTCAGGGCCTTGCACTGCCACGTGAATAAGTAGTGCTCAAACTATTATTATACAGCCTACTACCTATGAGTAAAACTTTGTATGAGTCCAAAGAGTAATGGAAGATGGTTGTTATATGCTTTTAGAGTTAGAAAACATTTTAAAGATTGTTTCTATCTATGTTTCTACCTCAACTTCACCTAAAGTCATACCCAGAGTAGAAATTGTTTTTACTTGCAATACCTATGATACCAAATATGTGGTGGGTTTTCTAAAGCAACAACCAGTTCTCCAATATATATATATATATATATATATAGGAGCTTCCTGTGACCTCCTCCTCAGAGTCAAAAATTAACCAGACTTGTTCACAGAACTCAGGAAAGCACTTTACTCGCTATTAATCATTTCTTATAAAGAATATTACACAGGATTCGAATGGACAGGATTCAAATGAAGAAGTACATATGACGAGGTCTGGAAGTGTGTTGAGATTCTGTCCCTCTGCAGTTGGGGTGTATGATCTTCCTGGCATATGGGTGTACTCATCAACCCAGAAGCTCTCTGAACTTCATTGTGTAGGAATTTTTATGGAGGTTTTCATTACATACACATGGTTGATTAAATCATTGGTCATTGGCAATTAACTCCATTTCTAGCTTCTCTTCTCTTCCTGGAAATGGAGAGAAGGAGGGTCAAAAATTCCACCTTGTTTTTTCTGGTTTGACCAGCCCTTATTCTGAAGCTATCTAGGCATCCCAGCCACCCATCATCTCATTAGCATACAAAAGACATTCTTATAATTTCAGAGACTTCAATGTGTTCCAGGAACCTGGACAAAGACCAAATATATATATTTTTATTATGCCACACAGGGTCATAAAGATGCAGCAGCTGAAGTCACATCTGTATCCAAGCTTTTAGATTTCCCCTCCGTCATCCTCTGGTGATTCTTCATATTAAGATCTCATAAATAAAAAACAAGGACATGTTTAAATGTTATTAATTTTTAAATGACCCCAAAACTTAGCATCCTAGTTAAAGAAATTGATGAAAAGTTTACCTAAAGACAGTGGAAGAGCTAGAAGTAATGAATGCTGGAATTTTGCACCATTTTTCTGTCATGTAGTTTCCTCTGCAAAGGATAGCAATCACTGTAGCTTTGAGCCTGGGTCTTGTTGGGAAGAGAAGGGTATGAACAATGACTGATGTGGAGTTAAGCAAGTGAGGTCAGACAGCTGGAACTGGAGTAGAGAGAGGGAAGAGGTGGAGCTAGGCATCCTCTAGCTGGAAGGGCTTGTTTGCACTCACTCCTTCTGTCATTATCATCTCCATCTCCATCCTCCTTTCTGCTACCCATCTCTGTCATCCACTCATGTATAATAATACCACCCATCCCTGATAACACCCCTCAGATGCTGGGAATTCTTTAAGCTGAGGGATTCTGTCATGTACATCTTTGAATCCTCCTTAACATCCAGTAATTCATTATTGAAGCTTGATGACAGTGAACAAATGGATAGATGAAAGAGGGATGGACAGGTGGGTGGATGATAAAAAAGACATAAATATTGACAGAAACTCAGAGGTAGTGAGAAAAGCATAACAACTTACTCCTCTGCCAACAAGGTTCAAGCATATTTTAGAGTGACTTTTCGGAGATAGGTTCATTTTATTTTAATATTCTTTAATCTAGAGATTACCAACTGATGGCTTATGGTCTAAATTCAATCTAAGCACCTGTTTGGTTTGCCCTTGTTGTTTTGGCCTACTGTTAATTAAAAAAGAAAGGAAGAAATTTATATTATATGGAATGCATTGCCAACATTTAAAAATTGAGAGATGTACCATTTTAAAGAATCCAGATTTTTCTGGAAAATTCAGCAACAGTGGGCTCATCTCTCCATTCCCTTTGGATAGAGCAGACACTGTTCTATGTACCACAGTAATAATCACTGACATAGATAAGTTGTCATTTATTACTTGTGTTCAAAATTTTAAAAATCCTGACCCATGCTTCTTGCTTACCTGTGTGGCTCCCTTAGGCTTCAGAATTTACAACACTGGCCTTTGGCAGTAACACATCCCTGCCTCTCACTAGAGAGAAAAAAGATCAAAAGAGAGAAATCTTAAGAAAGTAATAGTAACAATAACATTTACTGAACTTTGGCCATGTATTATAAACTGTTCTATTTTACATACCCTCAAAGTATACTCTATGAATCAGTACTATTCTTATCACCATTTTATAGCTGAGGAAACTGTGAGGTAGATGTTGGGTAACTTGCCTAAGACTCTAGTTTGTAAGTATTCATAATCCAGATATTTCTGCCTCCAAAGCCTATCATTGGAACCACTACACTGTCTTTGTACTCTTTCTTAACATATAAATGATGAAATCAGCACTATAATATGCTTTCTTCATCTCTTAGAAAAAGCAAATAAATATTGATTAACTACACTCAAGCAATTTTAAATTAGGCAGTCAGTTTTGAAGTGCTCCAAATCTTGCCTATTTGTGCTCATGTGGTGATGGGCTGGCATTAATAATATGCCTTGGTAAATTCCCTCAGCATTTGGTAGTTTGAAACATTGAACGTACAGGTGGGAGGATGTGTATAGCAAAGAAGTAACACAAAATCTCTTTCTTTTCTTTTCAATTGAATTTATTGTAACATGTAGAAAATTCATTCTGAAAGATGGTGGGTTTCTTAAATGGTGGCTAATTCTGATGCATCTGCAAACACTTGACTCGTTGGGTACCCGAGCTCCTTCTGCAAATCGTGTGTGCAGAAGGGGATATTATCACTGAATTGGAGGAATTAGAGGCATCCAAGACTCCCTGTTTCAGACACTCTGGCCCTTTTGCAGCATGGGAAGGTTTCTTTGCACTCCCTTTCGAGTTAATAGCTCCTGCACCTTACTCAGTATATCTCCCGGGTTTGATTTTTTTCCTGTAATGTTTCATTTTTTTCTCAATTATGCCCTCTAAAATTGTTTGCTTTTTTTTTTGAGAAATTCTCATCTAGAACAAATCTCTACACCTACTTCCCATCATTATTATATATTATCTGTTATAATAACAGACTTGTTGACTCCTCCACATTATGCTGAAGGCACACAAGGCCATGATCTAATTGTTTATATCAAGGGCTGTGCATAGAGGAAATTAAAACTTGTATGGTGTGCTATCAGTGGGGTAGAAAGTTGCTTCATCCAAGGGATAATGAAGGCCTTCAGAAGCAATCACTGCTTTGCTCTGTATGTGAATACTCTTACAAACACAGGTAAGAAAAAAGAACATTTAGTAAACCTATTTATTGCACATTTCATCACCGTACACTTTCTGGGGAGTCGTAACCCAAGCAGCAGTTTGGCCAAGTGGGGACAAACAATCAGTTAAATGTATTTGGAGACAATTTCATAGGCTTTAAATTGTTTTTCTCCCAGTTGGAAGAATGTGTGCTTATGGTTAACATAAATATTTGATTCAACCAGAAATTCCATTCCTGACAACATCTTGGGAATACAGTCTACATTAGCATTTCAGAACACACGTTACTGTTGTCCTAAGTGTCCAGTTCACTGGTTTATCCCCTTGTAGTTTGACAGCTGCCACAAGAAGCTCCTTCCTGAGCCTGGCCTGAAACAACTTTCTGGTAATATGATTTGAAGGGTGCTAAAATCCTCCCCCAAATCCTCACCCCAAAATATGCACCCTACATATCTTATGCCTTGACTGGGAATTCCCACCATTAGTCACTGCTCAGGCACTTGTCCCTGGAAGAGGTGGCCCAATCAGAGCTACTAAATCTGCCTCTGTAAAATTAATACACTCAAGATTTCTCCGAACTTGCCATAAGTTTTCTCACTTCTGTACCTGGTCAGGGGACATTTGAAATGTTTTTACATCTCATTGCCACTTGTCCAGTTGCTTCTGAAAATCAGAAGTCTGGCTCAAATATTTTACTTGTATTTCTCATAAAAATCATCCCTAACTACCTCCGCCCAAAGCATTGCCTATCCATAGCAATGTTCTATAGAGCATATTAGTGCTTCACTAATTCAACATGAAATGAAGACCAGGCAATTAGAAAAATGTTGGAAATAGAGAAATAAACATGAGTGTCTTCTTGAGTCCTCATGTCCTCTAGGGCAGCTTTGCCCAAAGTGATAAATGTCCTCTGGTAATATATTCAATGATTTTAGATGATGCAAGGATTATTTTTAAATTTCAATTATTATTTATTTACTCTTACATTTACTGTCTAATTATGGTAAAGTATCCTGATTTTCTAATCATGGGAGTGATATAAAGGTTATTTTAAAAATAAATTCATTTAAATTTAAAAAGAAAATAAATTAATGGAAAAATTATTTAAATAATAACACAGGTAATTTATAGATATAGCAAAAAAATAATAATAATAAACAAACAAACAAAAAAACCACCCACCCCAAACCCAAAAAACCATGGAGTATGTACTCGGCATTCATGGATGTAAGGAGAATTATTAAAGAAATTTGTGAAAAACTGAAATTTAGACAGTTGTTTCAGGAAAACATGACCTAGAAATAGACAAGTGTGATGTAACTTGGCAAGGGCTGTGTTAGCGTTACAAACATACATCTGCAAGACACAACCAGAGGCACCAACTGTTTGAGATGGAGGAGCAGAGATGAATTAGCTTGTGTACTGCTCATCCGATCGTATATGATCATGTAGGCCTGAACGTCATCTCCCCAAAAGCCATATCATGTGGCCCAGAGAGGGAAGTAACCACCCTGGTTCCTTAGTCCTCCACACAATAGTGCATGTGTGAACTGCTTGTTGTTCCTAAAGCTAAAATCTAAGGAATAGGTAGAGTTTCTCAAGATCTAGCAGATAAAATAGAAATGTAATGTGCATTTCAGCCTTGCCATCTTACCACCTTCCAGATTTACAATCTTAGTATGTCTTACTTGGTTATCAGAAGTCTTTCTCATTTTTTATAAAGTGTCCTGATAAATGAGCTAAGGCTCTGGGGAAATACCTTACCAAAAAACGTCCTGCCTCAGAATAACCAAGATCTGACTAAACAGGACTCTCAGGGGATCTTGGGGGTGGCTGGCTGTATATCCTGGGAGCTCAGGAGTTACAGGCCTACCAGAGGCCTGCATAAAACAGCTGGCCTGGAGCCTGAGTCACTTCACAGCCTGGTGCAAGGCACATGCCCTCCACTCTTTCACTCTCCCACTTGTGCTTCTTTGTCTGCCCTTTGGTGTCTTTATAGAAAGCAGATCACCTGGGAAATAGCATATTATATAGAAGAGCCCAGGTGTAGGGGCATCAGAATCCTGGGTTTGAATTCCAGCTTTGCCACTTGTAAGCTCTTTGATCTTGAGCTTGTTACTTTACCTCTCAAAGTTTCCTCATCAGTGAAGTGAGACTCATAGCACCTTATCCTTACAAGGCTTGTCATAAGGATTTGAGATAGAGAATGTAAAGCACCTGGTATGTGTGGTGTATATATAAGAATCATTTTACAATTATTATTGTAAAAAAGGAAAAATTTCCTGAAGGCAATGTCATGACAATGAGGGCTTGCATCCCCCTAATATCGAGAGTTCAAGGTAACCCTGGAGGGAAGAGAGCAAGAGAGGTGGTTAAGGCAACGAAGGAGCTGTCAGATTCTTGCACATCAGCAAGGATCTTGTTAGAAATGCACAATGTCAGGCCTCACTCCAGACTTACCAAATCTGAATCTGCATTTTAACATAATCCCCAGGTGAATGAGTGGAAGAAACATTGTTGTTAGATTTTTTCTCTTCCTATGCTCCTGTAATTCCTTCTTTTTTATCTCAGACAAGAGGACCTTGTCAGGCAAATACAACCACAAACTTCTCTTGAAGCAGCTCAAAAATAATAACAAAAAAAGAGTAATGGTGAACAGCACCTGCCATGCACTGTTCTAAGCACTCGGTATGCATGAATTTATTGAATCCCTCAATAAAATTATAAAATGGTACTATTATCATCCTCATTCTATGATAGAGGATACTGAGACACAGAGAGGTTAGATCATTTACCGGGGTGATACAGCTTGGAAGTGCAGGTTCCTGGACTAGAACCCACACATTTTGATCTGGAGTCTTTATTCTTGACCATGGACTTCAGCTTCCCCTCTACTTCTCCAAATCAGAGGTGAACCAAAATACATGCTTCCAGCAATGATGCACCTGCTCTTCCCTCCAAGCAAATATTTTGCTTAAATATTTCTTTGAGATCTAGAATCACATCTAGGAGTATAGGTTTACAAGTCTCGATCTATCCTACTGCCTCTGTCAGAGTTCAGAGCTGAATTCCTTCTCCCTAGACTTAGGCAGTAGCTTCCTCGGCAGATTTGCAACCTGTAATCTTTCTTCAACTCAAGGCTGCTCAAATACTGTAGCCAGAATTAGCTTTTTAAAGGGTAGCTCTGGTTACCTGTTCCCATGTCAAAATTTCAAGAGCTTTCTCATTTGAGTAAAATTTATCTGCCTTTATTTGACATTCCAGTTTCATTTTAGACCTTGCCTCAAGCCTGCCTTTCCAAAACTGTCTCCAACCATCCCTCTTCCCCAAGACATGCCCGCTCATGGAGTGACCCAGCTGCATGCTCATGTTTCAACTACCATGGCTTTTTCTCTTTCCAGAATGCCGTTTCCCATATTCAGTCTGCCGAAGCCACACTCAGGCCACACACAGACACTTCATTCTCAAGAGACTTTTCTACATGTACTAAGTCAAAACTCACCTTTTTCTCCCTTCTTTTCCTGTTTAACTCTGTGAGTTTCTCAGAGGACTTACCACATCCTGCCTTATATTAATTTAGGGCATGTGCCCTGAACTAGGCTAGTTAAATGTTCTTTGAATAAAAATATTGATAACGTAGATAATGAATGCTATTCAATCTACTTGCAAGTTCAACATCCTGAGGCACGTTTATCCTATGGATTATCTGGGCATAAGCAATTACATGACAGGATGTTGGGGTGAGGGTGGGGACAACTCCACTCTTGTACCAACTACAAGAAGCCTACCTTTACCCTACAGCAGATGGCTCTGAGAACTCTAACTCATTCAACAGACATGAAAAACAATCTTACCTCAGTAGCAATGAATATCTTCCTGGCTATCCTACCCTACTCATCTATTCTCCTTTCCTATCTAAGTTTATTTTACATACAGATGTTTTTAAAAGTACATTTTGAAAACAAGTTGAGCCCTAACCATTGTCCAAAGGAGCTCATTTTCTAAAAAAGTATATATTCTTTATGTGACAGTTTATTTCTACAAAGCTTAAGAAATTATCATTAATAAATACAAGGATTAAACTGTAAGGATGTTCATTACAGAGTGGTTTATATTAGCAAAAACTGAAAAATAAGCTAAATGTTCAAAACAGTAGTGATTAAATAAATCACAATATATCCAACTAGTGACATGCTTTCTACTAGTTAAAACTATATTGAAAATGTTGGTGGAAACAAGTTCATGATGTATGTTTAACTGAACAAAATGTATATGGAAGAATAGAAAGACCAGAAATAGATCCCACAAAAATGTCCAATTGATTTTTTACAAAGGTGCAAAAACAATTCAATGAAATAATAGTCTTTTCAACATATGGTGCTGGAGCAATTGAACATGCATAGGCAAAGAATAAAATAAATAGATAAAATAAAAATAAATCTCACACTTTATACAAAAACTATTTCATAATGAATCATAGATTTAAATGTAAAACATAAAACTAGAAAATGTAGGAGAAAATCTTTGGGACCTAACACTGGGTGAATAGTTCTTATTTATGAGATAATTTGGGCTGCTTCAACATTAAAATTTTTGCTTTACAAAAGACTCTAATAAGAGAATAGAAATACAACTTACAGGCTGGGAAGAAGTATCTGCAAACCATATATCTGACAAAGAACTTAAATCTAAAATAGTATAAAGAGTTCTTAAAACTCAGCAAGAAACAAAGAATTATAAAAACAAAAATCTAATTCGAAAATGGGCAAAAGATATAAATAGACATTTCATCAAAGGGGATATGGGGATGGGAAATAAACATATGAAAAGATGTTCAGCATCTTTAAGGATATTCAAATTAAAACCACAATGAGATGTTACTATATACCTATCAATATAACTATTAATAAAATAAAAACTGGTGATAGTACCAAATGTTAGCAAAAATATGGAGAAGCTGAATCACTCATATATTGCTGATGGGAACATAAAATGGCAAAGTCACTCTGAAAAATAGTTTGGCAGTTTCTTAATTTAAAAAAGAAAAAATTAAATATGCACTTACCATACCAGCAAGCAATACATTCCTAGGCATTTATCCCAGAGACATAAAAGTTTATGTCTACCCCAAAAGCTATGCATGATTGTTCACAACAACTTTGTTTGTAATAGACAAAAACTGGAAACAACACAGATATTCTTCAATGATGAAAGGTTTAAAAAACTGGTCTATACATATCATGGAATACTACTTAGCAATATAAAGGAATGGACCATTGATATACACAACTTAGATGGATCTCAAGGGAATTATGACTAAAAAAAAATGATCTCAAAAGGTTACACAGGCATGATTCCACTTATATAACATTCACAAAATGTCAGAATTATAGAGATGAAAGCAGATTAAAGATTGCCAGGGGTTAAAGATGAAGTGGAAGTAGGAAACAGGATAAGTGTGACTATAAAGGGGTTAACAGCAGGGATCTTTGTGGTGAGGGAAGAGTTCTGTTATCTTGATTGTGGTGGTTACACAAATCTATACATAGTATCAAATTGCATGGAATCATATACAAACGCACACATAGAGGTAAACGCTGTGAATTCTGAACAAAGCCTGTCACATAGTTGACAGTATTATACAAAGGGCAGTTTCCAGCTTTTGATACTGTACAATATTAATGTAAAATGTAATCATTGGGGGAAGCTGGGGAAAGAATATGTTGGACCCTTTCTGCTATTTTGCAATTTCCTATAGTTTATGATTATTTCAAAATTTTAGAAACCTGTAAAACAGTATGCATACTACAATATACTGTATATATAATTTTAAGTTGATATCTATATCTTGAAATTTCAAGTCCTAATTATAATTACTGATCAATATCAAACTTAAGGAGGAAATGCCACATTCATATGGGATGGTATAATTATGTCCTTAGGGGCTAAGTATCTTTTAATGTAAATTGAGACTTGACTAAGACTAAATTTAACCAGGATTTTGATTTAAATTTTATTAAGATTTAATATAGAGATAATTTTTAATCTAACATAAATTTAACCCAAAGCATTAGTGTTTTTCTGTAAATTTGGGAATCTTCTAAGTATTTGAGAGTTATACTCTTATTATATTTAGTAAATTTGGAATATTAGAAGTTTATTGACCACTTGAGCATATCCCACAGATTACTTTATATTTTTAATTTAAAATATAATAGGTTAAATAATTTAAAATTTAATATTCAGTTAAAAATAAAAGAATTTTATTAAGATCATAAATATTATTGAATGTTTAAGAGAAATTAAGGTTCATCATATTTAAAGTTTTAATATAGCAGATTCACAAAGATTATTTAAATTTTAGGAAGATTTTTTTAAACAATATAAGTATATAAAATACCAATTTTAGGCTGGGCGTGGTGGCTCACGCCTGTAATCCTAGCACTTTGGGAGGCCTAGGTGGGAAGATTACTTGAGCCCAGGAGTTCGAGAGGAGCCTGAGCAAGAGCAAGACCGTCTCTACTATAAATAGAAAGCAATTAGCCAAACAACTACAAATAGAAAAAATTAGCTGGGTGAGGTGGCACGTACCTGTAGTCCCAGCTACTCTGGAGGCTGAGGCAGGAAGATCACTTGAGCCAGGAGTTCGAGGTTGCTGTGAGCTAGGCTGACGCCACGGCACTTTAGCCCAGGCAACAGAGTGAGACTCTGTCTCAAAAAAAATAATAAAATAAAATACCAATTTTATATTTAATATATAGCATATAGTACATTTATAAATGCAGCATAAAGTTACAGAAATTTACATTATTAAACCCTTTTAAAAGTGATAAAGACTTATAAATAGAATAAGATTTGAAGTCAAACTTTAAAACTTAAGAAAAAGCTGAGTTTATGAATCTGTAAAATTAATAAAGGGAGCATTATTTTAGGTAGCTCCAGAATATTTCCTTTTGTGTGTCCTCAAGAATTCCCAAATCTCTCATTTATCCTATGGAATATATTCATTTAATTGGTATGTAGATATTACCAAAAAATTCATGAAACTGTGAATTAACAAGACAAAATTATAGTAAGGAAAAGCAGGAAATGAAATGACAATATAATTAAATATGACATATAGCAGATTGGGTATAACCTTATTTGTTGTACCCAATTTTATGTTTTATATTAATTTACAAACACATCCACTGAATTTTTTAAGAACTCAGAAAAATGTCTTCTCTACTTTCGTTCAGTGAGAAGGTATATGATCCTGGAGAACAAGGTTTTCGGAAGGAAATTTTGTCCCCTGCCCTCCTCTTGAAATGAAGTGACTATGAGTTTTGGTTGCAGAACCAACAGGGTTTGAATCCCAGCTCTGACTCTTGCCAGCCATTTTATATTACCCTGAGCAAAAGTTACTCAGCCACTCAGAACCTGTTTGCTTATCTGTCAAATGAAAATAATAATATCTGCTTATATAACAATATTTGTTGCACAGTAGGCACTTTATTAAAGGGCTTTCCCTTTTTTCCCTTAATCTCATGATATTGCGAACTTGTACATGATCATGCTTGCCCCTTAGCCTGTGGTCTGGGGCAGCATCTCTAATGACTCTAATAAGCTGGGTTATATATTTCTGTGTGCTCATTTTACCCTTGGCCTTACAGTTGTTCAATCTTTATGTTCCCTATGCCTTACCTTTCTCTGGTAAATGTTGTATTTCTCACATTACATACGTGCTTGGGAGCCACCTTAAATCCTTTGTGGGAGGTGGTGGGATGGAGAGTACTTGAGTAAGTACTTTTACAATACTGTAAGTACTCAGTACTTACAATGCTGAGTAAGTATTGTCTGATTCCTTCTCTCTCCACATGACTAGAGACCAAAAGAGAACTGCTCCCTCTCTCTGCAGCAGATAGATCTTTCTGGGTTTAAGAGAGCCCATCCTGCTTCAAGCTGGCCCACAGAGTTCCATTTAAAGTAGATTTAGTCTGGGTGCAGTGGCTCACAGCTGTAACCCCAGAATTTTGGGAGGCTAAGGTGAGAAGATTGCTTGAGGCCAAGGAGTTCAAGACCAGCCTGGGCAACATGGTAAGTCCCATCTCTACAAAATATTAAAATTAATAAATAAAACAGATCTAATAAAGAAGTGGCCAGTGGGATCATCTAATATAATAGTTCAGCACTTGATTTTTCAGGTGACTATTAACTGCTCTGTATAAAACCTACAGCAAATTCTTAATCTTCAACCAGCTTTCACCTGTCACCCCACTGTTTTCTGATTAGGGAATTAAAGTTGATTGTTCATAAGTTACTCAGCAAAATATAATTAGGAAAGAACTCAGTATTTTAAAGGAGATGTATAATATATTCCCCCCAAATATGTAGATATCCCAGATTGCAACCTGATTTTTTTGCTCAATTTTAGCAGTTATTCATAATTTACTGATTAGACATTTTTTTCTTCCACTAAAAATCACTGTCACTGAAGAGATAAAATTCATATTCTCTAAACATTAATAGTGAACAAAACCCTATATGCAAATAAGTATGAAAATATTTTCTGTGGCTCTTGCATGGGATCAAGGTGTGCATGTTCTGGTGTATATGTTTAAAATCCTTCCACCTGGTCAAAATGCTTTCATAAGAGAAAGAATAGCTCATGCCTCTTGTTCAGACTGGCAAAGTATTGTGATTATACTGAAAAGCATGGCCCCTCTTGAAGTTTAGTTTTTTACTTCTTTTATTTGAGTATAAAGCAAAAAGGAGTTTTCTCTAAGATGTCCTAATAGAAGCTTTTGAGTGATCTGCAGAGGTAGCATTGAGGTGAATGGAGTCCATCAAGATTTGCCAGAAGTATGAAATAATTATCGAAAGGATTCCATTAGAGACGAAAGCTACCTAGACTAACAGAGACAGAAAAGGCTGACCCTTTTCAGGCTCTTAACTTTCTCTAATGGATGGCCTTAAGTTGAAATCAAGACTCAACTGGATCATTGATTCTTAAAGGAAAAATATTGAGCATAGTGGCATATAAGCAAAAGCTGGAAAAATGGGCAGACAGGGTTATCTTTTAGTTAATGCTTGGAGTGAAAAGTATTTTTTTTTTTTTTTACCTTTTTTAAGCTCACAGGAATGAAGGCTAAACAATGGGATTTAGTCTTATAAAGCAAAATTTAGTTTTAATAAAGAAACAAAGCTGCCTTTAACAAGAACAACATTTTGTCAACTCACCAAAAAGGAATCTACAGATTTTTACAGATAGATGCCATTAAATGTTACCTAAAAGGTAAAGCAGAGTGTTCTTTGGCTAGTTATTGACCTATGTGTCAAATCCTGCTCTTTGTTCTAAGGGGATCATGGAAGTTCTACTTCTATCAAAATCTTGGAGGTGTATTTTGCAGTGCACACTTCAATAGCAACATGCAAAGCAAACACTAACACATGTACGCAGGCATATACATGCACATGCACATACACCTAGCTAGGTAAAATGAGTCAAATCCCCGAAATCATCTAGAATTTCCTGTATTTGCTGAAAGCAGCAATTGATGCCTTTGCCTCTGGTTGTCTCAAAGCACTTCATTACTGCTGGGTAGAAGGGTTCTGAGTGTTAGATTGGCAATTAAGTGGTTTGTTATGGACGGAAAATTGCTAATAATAAATAAAGGTACTGCCATTGTCTGAGTGTAGGGTCAGCTGAAGTCAAGGATACCAAGGAGAGGAGTGAAATTGTGGATTAGGCATCTTGGATGTTATTTAAGTTAATATTAGGCTGCTCCTGATGAGCAAGAAAATGAAAGTAGAAGCAAATAACTTATTTTTAAATCTCAAACATAACACTAGGATGAATAAAAAAGTCCTGTATCATCCTGTAACACTCAATATACTAGTTAAAAATGAAATCATTAGTAAATTGCATTAGTACTCAAACAAATATGCTGAGAGAATATAGGAAAACCTACACTAGGACAATTAATGAATTCCCCTTCCTAAGAATCATACATCATTGATGTAATTTTACACTGAGGATAGTAAATAATCCCATAATAATGACTCAGCAAATTCTGGAGAGTTTTTTTTAAGTTTTTAAGTTTTTTAAATTTTTCTCACTGAAAACTACAAAATATTTTAATTTACTATTTAATAAAGTTATTTTGATCAATATGTTGACTAATTATATACACACACATAAAACACTTAAATATATATAAGGTTGGGTGAAGTCATGAATAATTGGACTTTTATTAATAAAAAAATGAAATATCAGACATCTTTTAAATATAATATGACCTAAATGCTACTCTTAGTTCTTCAACTTCAGAGTAACTTTTACCTTACCATGTGTTTGTATTATAATATTTATATAAATATAGTTTTAAGACAAACTTTTATATATTAATACTGTTTTCAATTCTTTCTTAATAATTCTATGAAATGGTAAATGAGACAAATATTGTCATCAGCTCCATTTTACAGATGAGGATACTGAGGCTCAGAAGGTTCAAGTACATGATTTACCCAAAGTCACACAACAAAGCAGTGGACTTGAATGAGATCTGTCTTCTGATAACTTAAAATAATTTGGGATGTGGGTGTGTGTGTGTGTTTAGGTGTTGATAGGGTGGATGGTGATGGTGATTATTCTTCATAGTTAAAGATGCTCAAGCTGATGGACTTTGTTATAAAGTGATTTGTCCAGTTATAAAGAGATAAAGGGAGGGAAAAAAGAAGGGAAGGAAAGAGAGAGAGAGGGAGGGAAGGAAGAAGAGCTAAAATGAAAGAAAAAATAATAATAAATAAATAGATGGGCCCAGTTCCCATAGTGCATGGGAAAATTATGTCTTTAATGAATCTTTCTGTTTGTAAGATGTTTTCATGTTTGTGACTTACTTGCATGCCTTTCAGACCACATGACAATTGTTTTTTTTTTATTGTAGCGTATTACGGGGGTACAAGTGTTAAGGTTACTTATATTGCCCATACTCCTCTCCCCTCTCGAAGTAAGAGCTTCAAGCATGCCCATCCCCCAAATGTTGCACATCTTACTTGTTGTGGTTGTATACACTCATCCCCTCCTCCCCCCTCCCACCCCCCCCCGACACCCAATAAATGTTACTCCTATATGTCCACTGAGGTGTTGATCTGTTAATACCAATTTGCTGGTGAGTACATGTGGTGCTTGTTTTTCCATTCTTGAGATACTTCACTTAGTAGAATGGGTTCCAGCTTTATCCAGGAATATACAAGAGGTGCTATAGCACTGTTGTTTCTTAAAGCTGAGTAGTATTCCATGGTATACATATACCACATTTTATTAATCCACTCATGAATTGATGGGCACTTGGGTTCAGACCACATGACACTTTGTTCAAAACAGAGGCACTATATCACAAACAACTAAGATTGTCATCCAACACAGTATCAGCTAAGCTATTTGTGAGAGAAAATCATCACAAGCACAGCCTTTAAGAGCATGACATTGGTTGAAACTAAACTAGGATGGAGAATACCAGTATTTGATAGTATTAGGAAATTTAGATTAAAGCTATACAAATAATACATATATTAATTTTGGAAAACGAAATTAGAAAGTTTATTAATATTACTTTTTTTGGTTAGAAATCTCTTACTTTTATAATATATAT